GTGAGATAGTACAGAACATACAGCAGTAGAAAGGCAGATCTATTACCCGCGAAACTGCTGGAGGTGGCCTTTCCTCTTGAGCTCATGCGGTGGATTCATCAACTTTCAGAAGGCCGTCAACTTCTCATTCACTCGCCCTGTGGGGCAGAGCTGTCGCGTTGAGCGTATCAGCTGTGGAAACGCAAGTTGCTTGGATGACTGGACATATTCAGGATAGAATCATATAGAGAGCAAATGGCCGTTCACGCATACTCCGACAGTTCTGGCCTTTTAGAAGCGTTCTGTTTCCGCCTCCTTTACGAAGAATCTTGCACCCGAAACACAATATACACAAAGAGCCAAACTAAACAAACTCACCTCGTGAACGTTGTCTTTTCCAACTTGCAGTGAGAATAAATTAGCATTCCACACTCATCTTCGACCAATGCAAGAAGTCCCGAGTGTCAATCATGAGTAGCATACTGCTCCTTAGGCCTATCTAGAGACCTCCATGCTCTCAAGTTCGAGTGTATCCAAAGTTCCAAACCAGCCGACTACCAGCTGCGGTCCCGTAAGATTCTTCATGAAACAGCTACCTGAAGTACTCAATGGAGGTTCAGCTGTGTCCGGGTCGAGTTTCCTGATACCACCACTACTGAAGATCTGTATTGATAACCCAAACGCACAGGGCGTACCTGCCTCCCTGACACTGCTTCTGTCTAAAACCCGAGTTTACAGCACTTGAAAGTACGGGCTGACATGTCAAGGATGTGCTCTCAGGCAAGACAGCCTCAAATTTCGGTGCAATTGTGTCGGAAAACAACACAATGTAAAACAACCATAAAATATCTGTAGACCCAATGTAGTAGACCTGTGCATTTTATCGTTAAGTGCTAAGTGTCCAAATGTGACAGGCACCCTCCAAACAATATGTAGGTCAGAATTAATAGACAAGTGCTCTGCATGCAAAAAGTGGATTCCAACACGGACATTTAACACTTAGCGATACTAACAACACTTAGACATGCTAAGTGTTTGTGGGATCCCTGCCTCGCGCTAATTCATGCTTTGCCGGAGATGAGGCTTTTTTCTGCTTGTGTGCCTGTCCCATCCCCCGTCTAAAGTTCAAGGCTATACCTGCAGATAAACCTCCTCGAGGACTCAGGTGACTTTCGTCCTTACTTTCTCATGCACTTTGTTCAGCACATCGTGGTACAGTGATACTACTTTAGTGTTATCAGGTTCTCCATTTCAGCTAGCCCACGATCGTCCTCCAAGTCAACTACACAGGCATGCTGATCTGTGGCGGACTCAGTTGTCAATTTCGAATCATGCAGCTCCCAGGTCAATCTAGCTCGATTGTCTTCCTGGTTATTTCTCACGAATGCAAGCAAAAGAAGAGAGCAGCAGTGTCTCCGAAGGCTTTCACTGCAACGTGCTGCACTAAAAGCAATTCAACTCTTGTACAACTGAATTATTCAGTCGTTCTATATAACTAGTAGAAAATATGGACGCTCCTCACAATTGACGGTAAATTCCGCACAAAAATGAAGGACGTGAAAAAGTAGTTATAATTTCTGCACATCTAATACAGTTTGATACTGTTGTAATTGCTATATTCTTCACTGCAATCTTATATGTTTCATCAAGGGTGCCAAACGTACTGACTCAGGTACTCCTGTCCTGTCCTGGGCTTAGCTGAGACTTGAAATGTTAAAGCTTTACAGCGTGAAGTTGTTTCGATATCCTCTCGGATCGAGAGTTAAACGCATGGAGCCCTGTCCTCTGTATGGCCGTTGTCGCCGCCTCCATCTTCCTTTCACCATCATGACAATTCTCGTTAGGTAGAAGCGAAGCGAAATGACGACTACATGAGTCTGTTTCTGAAAAAGATATGGGTCCACCTAGCTAAAAGGGCAGTCTTTGAATTACCATCATGAAGGCTGAAGAATCCAGATCGACATTCTGAAAACCTTTCATGCATGGGTGGCAGAGAGGTGTGAACTCAGTACATCTCCGATGAAGAATCACATGCAGATCAGGTAATCAAAACCTCAGAGGATCTGAAGTTGGACTTTGTGAGCGTTTTCCCCACCCGATGCGCAAGATGAAGCTTAGCCCTTCACTCGTCCTTTCACCTTCACTTCAGGTTCTGTGGGACGACAACGACATTAGTTTTCTCTCATTCGTAATGAAGAAATAGAAGAAGCTTACTTTAGATTAGGAATTGCATCGACGGTAAGGAACGCGAGTCAGAAATATCGCTCTCTACGTTGCACCAAGCGTGGGAACCAAAAGCCTGTTAGAGTCCTGTGAGGGCCAGAAGTTCGATCGTTATGGAGACGAAAATTGTACATCCTTCATATATGTTATTCCATGTACCAGTGCAGGGAGCTAAAGTAAGGCAGCTCAAACATTAGATAACATTGCTAATTAGATACCGCGATATCTAATTAGCTGGGTAGAAGAGACACAAAATATCGTAACAAGTTTTTCTTCTTTAATCTAGATCAGCACATGTGACCTCAGGGCAAACTGCTTAATAGCACTTTCAGCGATCATTCTTTAAACAGCAGATGAAGTGAAGTGGGTAGAATGAATGCGGGGTTTTCTCTATTTAGCCGATGTTCTAGACTGATGCACAAATAGACTCCTATGTTTGTTGACGAGTGAAGAAAAACTCCGGTCGCTCGTAAAGACATGCATGACCGCCAAAGGCAACGCAGATAGTGACGACGATAGGTGAAGAGACAAGAAGTCAACTGCTATCCTGACCAAGGATATCTGTGCAGCACTACGGGTCGTGATCGTCGGAGAATCAACAGTTTATGCATAAACCACACGGATATTGAGGTGTCCACCGACTGGTTTACTTCGTACCGATAGATACTCTAATCTAGTGGAGACCCGGTGAATTACGAGCAGGGGATGATTAATCATGCAAATTTATGTTTGATCTGGATGAAGGGTAGAAAGTTCGTGAGCTTGAAAGATAAATGAGCTGCGAGCTAGCGTCCACAACATTGACAGGGTGAAATATCTTCTGCCCGCACGTCAAGTTGGAAGGAGGAGACAGACACAAAAATATGGGCTAGATTGGGTTCGCAACTTACTGCTTATGAGGGCTTTTGGCCTGTTTTTGAATAGAAGTTTGTGCCTTATGATGCCTATCACTTGCAGCTCCGCTTTCGGCTCCTGTTTAGACGCATTTCCGGTCGAATCGATTTCCATCGAGTTGTCATCTTGTACCTCTTGTGTCCTTGACTTCAGAATGAGCAGAGGCTTCTTGAGTGCGACTTGCGAGCCCTCTAGCTCATGATATCCTACAGTAAATGTGAACTTACCCTGCGACCATGTCATCTTCAAAATATTAGAGAAGAGAAACTTCCGGGAACTTATCAGATTAAGAGAACTAGGTGTTCAAATCCGATCTACTTCCATATTTTGACTAATGTGAACAGGCGGCTGGGTCGTCAAAGGTGGACACTATTTGATTTCACAACCATTCCTAGTCCAGCTGAAATTGATCAAAACTGTCCGAGAGGCGTACATACCCCGGCCCGTTTACACAAAGTACCAATAGTCAAAGCCTGTATTCTTTCCAGGAGTCCAGACTGCTGAATTTCGATTGAACCTTGAAGCTCAATCATCGCCCACTCTTGACAATCCCCACACGAGCATTTTAAAGGAATGAGCATCTTGACCTCCGTCCACTCGCTTATGGAGATGAACTTCCCACGGACGCTTGCTTCCAAGTATGATCACAAGTATCCTCTCCAAAACGATTTGCGAATGAACTTGCCACCAGGATGTCTCGTCAGGGCAAGATTTCCAATTTCCTCTGGAACTTATACTATACTTCAGATTTAGTTCCCTAGAAGAAGCTTGTCTCGGCTATATGGAATGTGTACGACTAATTAATTCCTGCCTCTTATGGGATCAATCAACTGACATACTTCCGCCATCCCCTGAACTTTGATGAAGATCACACTGGAGATACGAGGCAATGAACATCCCCGCTGCGCGCCATTCTTCGTTCCGCTCGTCCTCTACAACAAAACTTTAGGTTAGGAGTCTTATCCGGGCGATCGCTTTCAACCTACGCATCTTTGAACGAGACTTCCCAGGCGCACTAAAATTACCACTCCAAGACACCAAACTAATTCTCTAGGACTCGCATAACTTCCATATTATATGACTCGATGCATCCCCCATTCCGTCACCATAATACAGCAAGTATTCCAGGGAAAGGCTCACCACAGGAGAAGACACCAGCTGCTTCTTGGAGTTTCCGATGTCTGTGTCTCCTGTTTCATCGTCCTTCTCCGACCGTGCTTTCGAGCGAACGAGCAGCTGACCAACCAAAGAAACATCTAACCGGGAGCCCTCATTCTTTTCATCCTCAAGAACTCGCGAGTGAAAGTGGGAGGCAGCACTACGACGACGCCGGACGAAGGCTCTGGATCTGGCGTTGTCATTTCTGAACGTTGGTCGACTTGCAGCCTTGAATTGAAAACCGGCGGGACAAACAGATTCTTGTACAGTATTTGGCTTGAACTGATTGGCCCCGTTGGACCCATACCGCGGACCACAGTCACAGTTTCTTCTCTACTGCGTGCTTTTTACCGAACTACAGTAAGCACAATCTAGGAAACTGCAGAAGACAGGGAAAGGCATTTTTTTCCCGTTAAACATTCATTTATGCCACATTGAATGAATTTAATTCTCGAGATCTTGGGGTTTTCTGTTCAAAGGTAGGAGAATTTCGCAATCGCCTTCTTCACTAATAAAGATTTCGTTTCATATTTTTGGGCGCCTTGACTTCTCAATGTTGATATCAGATCGCGGTTAGTTTGGCTAGAACAGAAATGGATATTTGTTGAGATTCCAAAGAAGAAAGGTCTGTCAAGATTATTGTATCATTTGAAAGCAAGTATAATCGAGTGAGATGAGAAATTAAAGGTTAGGAAAAATATTTTTTAAAGAAAATAATTTTAGTATGTAATGTCATATATAGGTAAGGGCTTTTGGTCTAGTGGCACGAATTTTGCTTTGGGTGCAAGGAGTCTCGAGTTCGGTCCCCGGAACGCCCCCTATCAATTTGGCCCTCTACATCGCACCACTGGAGTCCTTGACAGAAGTAGGGGTGGCTTGGACTCAACTGAATGTCTCTTTAGTGCAATAAAGCGGATGGCATGCCCAGGTTTTGACGATAAAAAAGACTAACACAAGACTGAATCCCCATAAACCCGGAGTAACTACAGGAGGACTATTAAAAGTGAAACGATTGAAGGAAAAGTATAAACAAAAAGACATGAGAAGGTCAGTTGTGGATGACCACCAGTGCAACAAAAGTTAATCACCACTAGAGGGAGAGACACAAAAACCAGTCGAAGTTCAAGGAGGAAATCAAAACCCTCACCGAGGAGGGGGGGAGACATCATATTTTCAAGAAAGTATTGGTCCTTGTGAAGTTGAAGACAGTGAGTCTAGTTGTCTCACTAAGAACAGCTTCATATGCAAGCTTTAGATGTCATAGCAGATCTTGAAATATCCATTAATAAGACATAAGAAAAATTAGAGAAACGCGACTTGATGCTTTCAGCAGAATCAGATGGCTACCTTTTTCAGGAAAATATAAAGAATTATTACCGATGACATTCAGTTTATTTCTTTTGGGTGTAGAACAAAATTTCAGCAACTTGTCCTTGTGAATAGAGAAAGTCATGAAATCTTATCCTCGAATATTTACTGCATGCTTTTTTTATTTGTCAAATTTATATCCTAACAAGAATTATCGGAGTCCCTTGGAGATTGATGGCCACCGTAATCCACGGTTTATCACTTTGCCCAAGGTACCATCTCTTTTGGCAATCTAATACCAGCTGGCAAAAATCTGAAAATTGATTTTTATTTTTGAAACTTCCAAATGTTAATGGTAAAAATTCTTAGATTGTAAAAAGTGGAAGATCACTGGCTAGAGAACAACTTGGATAAAAAATGAAAGGATGGAACAAAAATAGGTTCACAAATTAAGTTTTTTGGAATCCGTCCGAAAATATGTGTTTGTTTCAGATAAAGTACCATCCATTTTTATTTTCTTTTGTGGAGGTGGAAATAAACAGGGACGATAATGGAATTTTGCCCTCGACCATGATTGAGAATTTAAATAACCACGTAATTTTTATCATGTTAAGCGTGAAAGTCCGAATTCGAAGTTCAGAAAAAACTGATCTATGCGGAAGAAAGTGATCCACGTTTGGAGTTGCAAGAGTAAATATTGTCATTGACACTTATTTTCAACAGCTCTTTTGTCTTCTCTTTGTGTGCGTACCTAGCAATCGCAGTGAAAACCATAGACAAGTTTTTCACATGTTGAGATTGTAGTCGTTTTTTTTACTCTCTGGATTGATTTGTTTGCTCCACATGTTTATATTCAAGAAAATCTAGAAGAAACTTGATAGGTAAACGCAACTGGTCCTATCTTGAAATTTGGCATCTCTCCGCTCTTCGCTGTTAGGTTAGACACTACCCAGCTATGTGTAAGAATGACGATGGACGTGCCGCATTTTGATTGGGTATCTTTTGTGAAGAACTAAATATTCATGTATTGTACCTCAGTGTATTTCTTTGAATTATATTTGAGATAAAATTGGTTGTTGAACCTAAACCTGTGTGAACTCATCCACCTAGCATTACATATTTAAATAAGAATGAAACGTGCCCTTCAGCAAGCCCATCTTGATTGTAATTATCATAAATGTTCTGAAATTATCTGGTATTTTCATTCATTTAAATCTTATGCATATTTGATTATCAAAATTAAATCAAGTATGAAATTTTATGAAATATTTAAAAGAACTATGAATGGGAAAAATGAAGGAATAGTTTTTGTATGGATCTGATAGAAAATTCTCTGAGAAAAAATTGACTTTATCTTCGTTATGGATTGAAAGTGATGAATAAAGCTAAATGTAGAATGAATGGACGATTACAACTGAATACACACAAGAGACCAGCATAAATAACAAATCAATCATCTCAAGATAGGGTTAAAACTTGATTGAATGACTAAACTCAAGAGATTACTAGGGATCTTACTGTAAAATAATCATCTTATTTAAAATTACAATTCCAATGTATAATATATCATAGTATGATGTATTCTTTAATAATATTTCAGGTAATTTAGACAGGTTAAGTAACAAAGTGTGTAATCTAATCCATGTAGGTATACACACTTGAAGTAGATCCTATGTCATTTTTTCATGTATGACATTTCATTCCTATTGGTTTCAATATTTTCTTCCACCTTGTTACACATATGAGAGTATATGGACAAATGCAAAAAATGTTGGTTTCTACTAAAGGCACTCAAATCTATGCCATGTAAACATTCACACATGTAAAATTTCATTTTGATTGGTTCTAAGAATTTATGATACAATTCTCACACATGTTGAAGTGAGTGAATAGGTGCATGAACAACTAATAAGACGTGTAATTATCTCCACCCAATGTATTGTGCTTAATGGTTATTCTTCCTTTTTTCGTGAAATTCTATTTTTTACGCTTTCACAATCGTAGAATATAAATTCAAGTTGTAATGGTCCCCGACTCGAAATAAGAATGTTTGGGTGAACCAGTATTCATGTAGGAAATGGTTAAATTCCATTTCTGGTGGTTACCTAATTTTTTTTGTTTATTTATTAATGCTGCTTCTTACTCCAAATTACTTCTGCAACCGACATCACAAACAACATGCTATTCCTTCATGATGTCAAGTTCGAGTTTGCTGAATCTTCAAATGCAAGTGCATATTGTTTGCAAGGTGGTTGGTTGTGTAACTAAGACTTTTGCTAGACAATTTACCCCAGCTCTTTTGAATGAGTTTTTCTGGTATATGTTGTTGGCTACATCTTAAAAATGACAAGGGCCCCAGGTTTTTTCTCTAGGATCAACCTATTTATTTATTAAGATGATGCTTTAGTCTCTCAAAACCCCAGAAAAAATAATGGGAATCATCAGTGGATTGACCTCTCTCAGTATATGTGGAATTATGGTCCAACTTGGGGAGAAGCTCCGGATGTTTGTGGTTCACAGATGTCTGCTTTATTCAACAAAATTTTGTTGCACTACATGGTACTCCTGCCAGTCCAGCAATCCCTACGAGAAACACGGAAGGAGCTTTGGAATTTTAGTAGTCCCCTCCTAATGAATGTACTAATGTAGGCACAAGGGTGTTGAGGGTGTGAATGATTCCCTTATTCAATATATCAATTTATAGATATTAATTTTCAGAGTATATTCTCCAGACGCCTCAAACCCCAGTGAACAATCCCGAAAGAATTTTTTCAAAGAAAAATTATTATTTTGCAAAGAGGGGATATGTAAGGGCATTTGGTCTAGTGGTATGATTCTTGCTTAGGGTGCAAGAGGTCCCGAGTTCAATTCTCGGAATGCCCCAGATCATGTCTGGCTTGCGGTCGGCACCGCAGATCAATCTCAGTCGATTCAGAGTTGCTGCCTTTTTCTGCAATCGAAGGCATTCACAGACTTCCATGAATCTGCAGCCTTCAGATCCGAGTCCCGACGACTGCCGTGTGGTCCTTACGAGAGGTTCAGAGCAATTCCATCCGACTGCGTATTCGATCACGTGAAAACTCCGCCCATCAACAGTTCCACTCCAGTAAAGTACTGGCCTCTAGCAAACTTGAACATGGGGCAAGCCTCATCGCAGTGTAGCAAAGCATGTGTTGCCGATAAGTTATAGCTAGCCCGCCAGCCCGCCACGGAAGGGTTCTGTGCAACAAAAATAACGAGAGGTTATCACTCCGAGGAAGCTGCAGCATTGTAAATTGTGGTGAGAGTTTTTGAACTCCATTAGTTCGAGGTATATCTTGTTGTTGAAACGACGACATTTCGTCGTCATCTTAGAGGTAATCAGGAGTCCATAAATTGCGGCATTTCGGGAGTTGAACTCGGGACGTCATCTTGGGGGACGAATTCGTCCAAGATAAATACAGTACAGCACCAGAAAACAGATTGACGGAGTGTGTTTCGTGTTCGAACTTCGATCCTTATTGTTCTTGCTTTGAGACGTGGCACCTTACAGCTAATACTGCTTTCCTTTGTTTTGGTTGTGTGCAGCACTGACCTTCTTAGCTTGATACAAACCCCGTTCCTTACGTTGCCTTGAAAACTTGCAAAAAGTATATGGTGGAGATCAGCGGCTAACTTCTGACTTCTGACCTCTGTCCCTTGTCCCTGTGTATGAACTTTTCGCTTGATCAAGAGCCAGCTTTGCATGCATCATATTTTCATCCGAGTTGAACGTTATGCCAATCAAGAGAGGGGTAACTCTGAGAATGCGCCACCTTTGGTTTGCTGTTGGCCATTCCCTCGCTTCGTCAACCTTAAAGACCTTCCCATCTCTTCAAGTTGTGCAATGTTGCTGTGAAACTCCTTGGAGATTGATAATCTGATATCTCCCTCTCTTTCTTCCCAATTCAGACTGACTACTCTTCCTGTTCTGATAAAAATACCCGGTAAAAGTGGGTTGGCTTGACGCCTTAGAATAAAAGCCATGTGCTTTGATGGTCCGTGGAACTCGCTTTCGATGTTCTCAACCGGAGCTTTGATTTGTAACTCTGAGTTTATAACCGATATAGTGGAGGCATTGGAGGTGCACACGAAATTAATTTTCTCGTGTTCTGATGATGTTTAGCATCGTCGAAACAGTTCACAGGGGATCGTGCTGGTGACTGGGTAGAGATATTCTAGCATATGCAGTTTTTATTTGGCACATCAGCAGCTATTTTACTGGAGATACAAAAATGTATCAAAGAAAATACGCTTCCAAGGAAAAAAATATGGTTTTGTCAATGGGAGATGTATAGACATGTAAATCGTACAGCCAAACTTTTGAAGCAATTTACCACTGATTTTGAAAAATTTACAAATTTGATGCGCTAAAAATTTCATTTCATTATCAGTTTTCTTTCACTATGATGAATGACGAGTACAATTTTTCCGATAACAGACTTGTGAAGAGTTCTGATGGAAGCAATTCACGTTTGTTGATAGTAAAGTG